TATATCTACTTTTTTGCTATTAATAAAACAATTTATGATGGTATAAAATTTAAGATAAAATTTCTACAATTTTGAAATATGTGCCCCCATGGTCTGTGGCTCCTGTGGGGTGGGGTGCACACTTCGTTATAAGGTGGAAATGTATTTTCTCTTTGTAACTCTTATTCACATATGGATATTAAGTAACCAAAGTAAGCAAGCTAAATGTATACATAAATTATGATAAGCAATAGATTCTCTTTCAAAATTTTGAATTTCATGACCATTTATTTAAAACACGAACCAATTCAATGGAAAGTTTTTACATGATACTAAGGTGACCTATAAGGCCCGTGGGCAATTTGTTTAACTTTTGAAGAAGGAAGGAAAGACAGTTTTCATTTTGCCAATTCAATCACTTAAAACTGGATTTTAACATAGCCAACTAAATTCATTTTCAAAATGCTTAGAGATCATGTATGTTTGGCCCCTTCCCTAGAGTTTACTTTGGAAGCAGTAATCAATGTATATTCAAGGTCTGAAATTTAACTCAAAATATGGTGAAATACAAGAGTTTAACATTATGTGATTAAAAATATTACTCATATTAACTGCGTCATGTTAAATATACATGTAGCAGTATTTAGCTCGCTTTATATATCATACAAAATATAAATAATATATCTGTTTATCATTAAGCTCTGTATATAAAGCCTATGATTGGCAATATCCATAATTACAGATACGAGCCTATATTCTGGTGAGGAGGAATCAAAAAACAGGTTTTCCTTGACCTTTTGACCTATTATATACATATTGCATGCTAGCTAGGGTAACATTGGAAATTGTCACCCCAAGAAAACCATTGTTGACCGAGCCGCAACATAACATTTTGTTTTTAATTAAATGAACATCATATAACAAATAACAATAACGAACAATTGGATATCTCCAAACAAATAGATATCATAGTTTGAAAGTGTATTTATCATGGAACATAACATTAAAGGATCAGTTCCAAGAAGTTCAATATTTACTTCTGGGGCAGAAAGTTGAAGTGAACCACCAAGTTATTGGTGGGAAAGGCTGTCCCTATTTTCTTCTCCAAAATCTTCTCGTTGTCTACGGGAAGGTCTACTCACTGACAGGCTATTTGTGTGGTAATAAATCTTTTTCGAAAAAATCCATCTTTCATAGAGAAATTTAAAATGCTTTTGAAATAACTGCTGACCCCCATGAAATTGATGACCTGTTATTCTTTTCTTAAGTAATCCATTTGTTTCATAAACATAAACAAATCACCACAGATTACATTCTATTCCGTAGACAACATTAGAAGATTTACAGTCTAGTTTTTCCTAAGTTTTGGTATAGAAGCATTGTCCAGTTAGATTACTGGTGAAAGAAGTATAAGTTATCTAATTGTCACATGTTTTACAGATCTTTATAGAACATTTTGTAACAGAAGACAACGGTTTGGAAAAGGAATATTGGAATACATCTGAAAAAGAGACATTACATTCTTTCAATTTTTTTGGGTATTAGCTATTGGATTTAAAACAAAACTTGGATTCTGAAGATATTCAGTGGTATGAGAAGATGCGTATAACAGATGGTATCCTTCAATATTGTAGAAAAAACGGCGAAGTCCGTGTTTTGATGTAGAACACTCCAAATATGTGTCCAATCGAAAAGTAAAGTAAGAGGAGCACGATAGCATAATGAAGCAAAGATTCTCTTGAAGTCTTGAATTCCGTTCAGTGTTATGAGTATGAGTGTTAAGATGGACGGACGTACAGACGGACATCCCGATCACTATATACCTTATCGCTTTTCAAGTTGGAGAATAAAGATATACATCAGCCTAATTAAGGGCATAATTTACCCAATACTGCAATTAAGCAACATTGTCAAAGTATTGTTGAACATTGTTTGGTAATGTCGCGGTAGTGTAAGTGAGAGGCTCGGTGTTGATTGTGTTCTCCTTGCCGCGTCAAAATTAAGAGAGTTTTAATGGGAATCTAAATACATTTTCAATCTGTACACAGAAATAAATCAAACTTTTAAAAGACATGACGATTTTTATTCAATAATTTCTCGTCAACATGAAAAAATCTTGTCAATAGTTAAAAATATTAAAGAATTAAACCAAGTGTAATATAGGCAAAAAAGCTAAATATTACATTACGTGTTTCTTCTAGGATTTCTATTTCAAGAACTTATCAACAATTCACCTTCCAAACAATTTGAATACAGTTAGTGAAAAAGTTGTAAGTCATCATCATTTTGAAAGCTAAGGCTTATTGTTCATTATCTGAATGTATATAATAAAAAAATAAGGATTGTTTAATGACATTTCATGTTAAGAAGGAAAAGAAGCCAGATTTGTAATTTTACTGTTGTACTGGAAAGTGGTAAGATTGCAGGGTTGAAAGTTTGGCCATTCCAATTTATTAGAAAAATGGCGAGTAGAAACTCTGGAGATCTACAAGTATTTACATGCATCAGTGCTCTTTCACGGAAACTTGGTTATTGATGAGTTGAAAATTCGACGATTGTCAACAATTGGTCAGTATTAGTTCTAAATAAATATTCATCTGCTCACAGAACAAGAACAAGTTTAACAAACGAGATAATAATGAATAAAAAATCTCCTGTTACTTTCTAGAAAATAAAAAAATAATTTAAACGGTCCAAATTTCTTTCAATTTCAAAGGATCTTAAAGGTCTGCTTGGCAAAAATTTTATTATTATATGACAGAAAAAAATAATCTATTTATTCAACGTCGTCAATACATTGGAATGTCGTCTGTAGTTTATTCTCTATAGCATATTTTCGAGTTAAGAAATACTTTTTGATTTTTTCAGTGGAATACTTATGAATATTTCATATACACAGGGAATTAAAAGGCAGTGAGATAGAAAACTTATTGTCATCATCATAATAAGTCTTTTGTTTGTGTAAATTCAATGAAAATTAAAGCGATTGCAAGTATTACATAACGTCTTTAACAGTATGTTAGTATCAAGAAGAAAAAACAATTACGACCAGTTTTGTAACTTCACTTGACTAAGTATAGATATAAATATTTTGTTGTCCTTTTAGTATAAATTGCTAAATGCAAATAGATTGCATTGGTAAAGAATTCACTTAATTGAAATTTAAACTTATACTGCGTTGATTAAATGATACCCCCGCCTCCCATATGAATATAGCGGTAAAATATATGACCCAAACAAGAGTCAGATCAAAAGATAAACAGGAGATGACATTGACTGTGAAAGTATCATTTCATGTTATTATGTGGTGTAGAAAAAGATGCGGATGAGAGATGGGTACCCTTCAAAATTTAAGCTATCAAATCAACATTTTTGCAATATATAGTATCAAAACTGCAACGATGTGGGCAAATAGATTTAATAATCCTCCTTATTAGTTCTGACCAAATTTCTGTCACAAAATTATGATACATTGTTCATATTTACATTTTTCAACTTCTTTTGGCTGTAAATAAAATACTTTTAAAATAACGGTTTTATCCTTTGGGTGAGTTTAATTTATTTGACGAGTCGTAACAAAGCAACAGTTTCTGTTCAATGTAAACATGATTTTTTTTTGGCTTCTGACGTTTCATTTGTACGGCTTTCAACGTTTGTGACGTCAAAGCTCAACGCATATTTTGACTCCTGTACGTGTAAAGGTGTTCTGTAGAATGTTCAAATTATTGAAAAAAATATTAATGTTCATGTTTTGTAATGGGAATATGAAATAGAGTCGTTTTGCAACAATACTTTCCAGTTACCCATATGGTCACAAGAGGTTACTGATTCGAACATGGACAATTGTAAAATCTGGGGGAGACTTTGACTTAACGTCGTTACTTAAGTCACCTTGTAGGAATATTTCGTCTTCACCTTCTACAGATAACTGCCCTTTTACTTCATATCTATTCTGGATAATAACCTAGATGATCTCTGGCACCCTCTAATCTTTAGATTATAATGATTTTTCAAAATACTCACCGTCTTCCCATAGAATTATTCGATTTCAGATGCAATGTAAAACTGAGTACACATACATTGGTGGCGCTTACTTTGTGAACGAGGAAAAAATTACCTTCCTAAAGGCGACGTCACTTTAATCAACCTTCATGGAGGTTCTTTTTTCCTTACTTTCTCACTCCAATGGAAATTTGTTTACTTATGTAAACATCATTTTTATCAGCCTGTACCAATATTATAATTTTGCGTTTAAATCAGTGTTCTAGTATTCCCCAGATTTTCGCAAAACTTATAAATTGACCGAATTTTGACGTTGACTAACAATGTCACGATTAACAACAATTCACGAATCATTAATTGATAAAATAAATATTCATAAAACCAGTACACTCCTATATACAGAGGTTTATGAAAGATCATAATTTTCATTTTAATGCGTTTAATTCTTCACATTTAGAAATAAAAATTGAAATAATTTAAGAAAATTTGAAAATATCCTTTTCTATAGTAACTGAGTTTTACTATCAGTAATATTTAAAACACTTTTTATCAAAACATTAAATAAGAGTATATTTATTTGTTATTTTCAATCACTGTCACAAATAGATAAATAAACTATTTTTTACTAATAGATAAAATAAAAAAGTGTTCAATAGCACTGTGTATCAAAGCGTCTGTGAAATTTTCATTAAATTTCATTTCGTGTTATAAAAGTTGTTGAGAATTAGAGATGGGTACACCAAATTTTAACAGACGGACGTACAGAAAGACAAATGGACGGCATTTTGATGATATTCAACGGATATAATTTAAAACATAGATAAAAGTATCATTCTAATATTTAGACCAATTGAAGATTCAGTCATTCTTGTTCTCTAATCGATCTATCAGAGATAGTAAATTACCTAACAATCAGCCAATCACTGGTACGCAATGCACTGAGGCTTTGATATTTATACCCGCTAGCTGGAAGATTAGCTCGCAATTTCTTTACAGAAACCGTACAACTAGAGTAATACACAACAGAACAACATGAGCAATCTCTTGGCTGTCGTTTTCATTGCTGCCTGCTTTACGGTGCCTCTGGCTGCCATGTTTTCTCGGAGATACGCCAGAAGCATGGACTTTGATGATAAAAAGTCAGAAGACGAACTTCTAGGAGAGTATTCTATATCGTTTAAAGACTGTGCTGAGAAGTGTGGGAGAGATTGCGGTGTCTTTGGGTATAATGAAAGATTGAAGAAATGCCGGCTCCACAGGAAACTCCACAAGTCGTCAGCATCAGATGCAGAGGGCTGGAGATATTTTTTTCATGATTGTATGTATAACCTTTTATATATATTGTTTTGGGAAATGAAAAATATGGGGATAACGAACAGTATTCATACTCAGAATTCTATTCAAATAATACAAAACAAAAAACAGACCAAAAAATGACCTCTAAAACAATACAAGTGGGATCAGGTGCCATGGAGGAGTGAACATACCTAGCAATTGGTCACATTCGCCGTGTCCTTTTTGACGAAATAACAGAGAAGCCGTTAAAAATTCTCTGTTGAATAACGACCTAAATAAATCCCTGAAAGTACAACAAAGAGAACCTTTGCTATTGTTGTATAGGCTGAAAAGGTTTCTGCTTAAATCCATCTCTTCATAAATATAAAAAATCAATATTCTGTATTATTGTTCAGGTCTCAGATTAAAGCATTACCTCTTTTAATTCAAATCTGCATTTTTATTAATCTAATTGAGAATGATATTTGTATTGTTTGTTTTTTGTTGTTGTTTTTTTTTTTTTTTTGGGGGGGGGGGGTGCATTTAATTTGTTTTATATATAGATTTGCGTTTTGTTCACATGAGCATTGGATAATGATATTTTGAATATAAACTGTATAAAAATGTTTAATTAAAGCACAATTAAGAGCAAGTGCTGAAATTTCTCCCAAAGTACGTGCAATTTTCTGCGAATTGATCCCCATATTTTTTTCTTAAATATTTCTGTTGAATGATTTTAACTAGACAATGCATACCTGGTGTTTTTGTTTGCGTTTCCTCAATCTAGACTATCTTTCAGCTTTCTAATTTTTCCTTATCATATCACTTAATGAAATTATTAACTTTGAAGAAACACAATAGGTGAGTATATTTTACTTTGAGAATGTGAAAATAGTTTTTGATTACTGTATTTTAATTTTTTTTCTCGTTTGGATGAATTTCAGAGATACAGGATCAAATCTTAAAATTGACAAAAAGTTAGTTTTAAGTACGGAAACAGAATATTCAAACAGTGATAAATATTTAAAAGCTTTTGTGTGCTTATAAATGTAATCCTCTTTTGCTTCTGTGAATTAAATACTCATGTCAGAAAAAAAAACATTGACTGTCATTTGATTGACTGTAGAAAATTAGTTATATCAGAAAAACACTAACGACCATTTGATTGGTTGTTAGGCTGTAGTTACGACAGCGGACTTTGACGACCATTTGATTGGTTGTTAGGCTGTTGTTATGGTAAAGTTAAGGTCCGTATGTCCCTCCGTTCGCTTTGGAGCATCCATCTCTTATCCACAACTCTGTTTATATCGCTGAATGCAATTTAATGAAACTTTCACAGAATCTTCGTTACATATCTAGTTTTTGTGCACCTTCTAATTTACTTTTTGATCGGACACATATTTCGGGTTCCCTATAGCAAAACAATGATACTGCCATTCTTTCCATAATATTGAAGGGTACCCATCTCTTATCTGTAACTCCTCTTATAACACTGAATAAAATATGATGCAACTTTTACATATTCATTATTACATAATGCCATTGTGCACCTCTTATTTTACTTTCTGATCTGACAATTTTTGCGAGTCTCCCATGGCGAAACATTGACTTTACCATTAAAATTATATGGGATGTGGCGATATCATTTAATGAACTAAGTGCTCACAGTACATCTAGTTTTAGTACTGTTCAGCAAATCATTTCAAATATTATACAGATATTTTTAAGAACATTGTTTAAGATTTTACAATCACTTTTGTTTCAATTAAAAGGATGCTCATTTGATCGATTTCTTAAAATGATAAATACACTACAATTGTATAATCATTTAAGTATTACCAATAAAAATCGAATTTATTTGTTGCTGAAAACATCTGAATTAAAATAGATAAGAAAAATCAATACAACAAACTGGAGTTCTAAAAAAAAAGTGTGCACTATCAAGAGTAAAAATTTCATTCAAGTTTTATTTTTGTTCATATTTGTCCACAATCAATTCAAATGAAATAATTTTAGTTTAAGGGGGGCGACTATAGTTTCCATTGCGCAATATTTCGCGCATCATAGTAAAATGAAACGTATTTATTGTTTTAATGCAACTTTTTTCGTTTAATTATTAAAATTAAACAAAATTAAGAAATTATAGGTAAAAAAAAAAGTAATTACAATTTGATATAGCTGATTTTTTTTAACCGATTTTGCAATTGCTAGGTAGGTTGACGTCGCTGCAGTGTCTTTTGGACGTTATGGTAATTTGAAGCTCTTAAAGGAAGGGGTAATAAAAATATCATTATAGAAAAAGTAATAAACATACGTTCTTGAAATATAAAACAGAGAAATTTTAGAATATCTCCAATATTTTTATTATGTTTTCTTGTGAATCCATTGTTTAAGTCATATTTTGTAGTACTCTATAAAATAGTAATAATTGCTATTTTTTGCATTTTGAGATGCCCCCTCTCATAACAAGACGGTAGAACTTTGTGTTTTTTAAATATATTGTATCATATAGTATTACTCATAAGATATTATAGTTTGAACAAAATGTCTATTGTAGTATTTGTATAATTTGCTTTAAAGTGCTAAAAATTGGCATTCTCTTATATAATCCTAAAGTAAAGGTACCTGTATTTGAGACGGTCATTCAAAAATACCTGGACGAAAGATTTTCCCCAAACTTTTCATGTACACTGAAGTTAATGTAAGTTATATATGCCATAAAAATGAAGAGTTTCGCTATTGTAGTTTTCACACAATAAAACTATAGTCGACCCCTTTAAGCTTAGAATAACAGTCTTTTTTCATCCTTAATATCTCGATATTTCTCTGCATTATATGTTTGTGTGCCTCTATCTTGTAATGTGACATACAGAATATACGAAATATATATACAAAATAAAACCATCAAGTGTTTTTGTTTTTTTTTTCGCTTAAGTTCTCGCCACAGACTGCCAGGATCTTCTTGATAAAGGCCGCACTAATAGCGGCGTGTACGACATCTATCCTTATAGGATCAGTTCTATTCCAGTCAGGGTGTTCTGTGACATGGATACAATGGGAGGGGGATGGACGGTGTGTTGTTTATTAATACAGTTTTAAAAATGGTGTATATGTTACAGTAAATATGTGAAATCAGGAATTTCATGTACTTCCTAAACCATTCAGTAAATACAAGTATTTACTGGCAGTTTTAGGAAATACATGTAATTACTGAATAGCTAGGAAATTCATGTATTTACTGAAAAATTTAGCCAATTTTACACCTTTTTACTGAACTACAATAATTAAGCTACGTGATTAAACATATATGCGTTAAAACATTCAGCAAGGATACAAATCATAGTACATTTGCATGTTTTTAAGCAGCACGTAATAAGAAGTGTTTCAACAATGCTGACGTTATACATATAGATTTCTAATTATGGGCAAGACTCAGTGCATTGTCTTTCTAAAATTTCATTAAAAACGTTATGTGTTAGTTAAGTTAAGCACTAGTATTTTCAATGAAAATAAACCCCGTTTTTCTACATTGAAACATTAACATATTTTGAGGGTGGAAAATTATATTTAAAAAGTCACATCATTGACATATTGTCCTTAGTTTCGCTATATAATATTATAGCTAGGCCTTTGTAGTTCATAAGATTTCTTTTATTTTTAAAGAGACAGCAGAAGAATTGATTTATTTGCAAATAAGATACTTCAGGGTTTTAAATTTACGGTCAATAAATGCAAAGAAGCATATTATTGTACATGTATATTAGTATCTAGATTTTTGTAGTAAAACAAGAAATGTCAGTAAGCAATTTTATTTGTTTTAATTAAATTCAAAAAAAAGTATAAAAATAACTTAACAGTTCAATTATGTCGTGATATAGACAACTCATTCCAGAAAAAAATTATTTATAAATAAAAAAGGTTAATATTATTTATTGATATGATATGCTAACTGACGTAAAATTTGAATATACTATCTTTTTTAATTAATTGAATTATCTAATCATAAAACAGTTAGTAAATACGTGTAAAAAGTATTGAAAAACTCAGTAAATACATGTATTTTCTAACTGAAAACAGTAAAAACATGTATTTCCTAACCAGATTAGGAATTTCATATATTTCCTAAATTATAGGAAATACATGAAATTCCTGATTACACATATTTACTATAACATATACACTACACTTGTAATTTGATTAAGATTTCATGTTCCTGAGGAGATAGGTATTTTAAATCAACCTGTAATTTGTTTGAGATTCGGTCTTTGATCTGGGGATTAGAATTTAGTATCAACCTGTAATTTAACTCAGATTTGATTTGTTATTGAGAGAGAGAGAGAGAAGAGAGAGAGAGAGAGAGAGAATGCATATAGAAAACAACTGTAATTTGATTGAGATTTTATTTGTTATTTAGAGGAATTTAGTATAAAATATGCAAATGCAATTGAATTTATATTCAAGTTCTACGGGGGACAGATATAATGGTAATTTAATTTGAAAATTAATTTCTTACTAAGGGATAGGTAAGAGTAAAAAAAAAACGTTTTCCCCATTTATAGTTCTAATGCAGATATATTTCAGTTTTCAAAATAATTCAACTATGATGTATCTTTTCAAGGCAATTCAAAAACGGATAGATGGATCCGTGACCTTTGACAGGATCTGGATAGATTACAAAAATGGGTTTGGTTCACCGGAAGGAGAAGTCTGGATTGGTAATTATAATCTTTGATAGCTTTCCAAATTAGGACAAACACAATTTAGAAAAAAAAACTTTTTTTAAAAATAGTTGCTAATGAAGGATTAGTTCATACGTTTTGAAATGTACCGGTGTTATTTGTTGACTTATGTTGATGAACTCCTGAATAAAATTTATAGTTATCAATTTTTGACACAGCCTTTTTTTAAAAGATATGTATGTTTGGTATTTAAAAGGGATATAAATTATCACTTGAGTAATATATTTCCTCAAAATATAGAACTTTTCTAAATCAAATTAGGTGCAATTTAATTAAAACTTTAAAATAAAAAAAAAACCATGCAAGTGATAACGAAAAGCATGAAGATTTTTATACTGACTTTATTGAGTTTAAAACATTTAAAATGTATGTTGTATTAAAAATTTTGATATATTTCTTTTCAAATAATTTACTCAATGTTTGTTGTTGACATTTTTACTCAGGTAATTCGTCTTTTCGTGTGATTGCATCATTAGAATAATTGATTGATTTCAATATATCTTAATACAGGAAATGATATAATCCACCAGTTAACGAAAGAAAACACCTCATCCCTTTATGTATCCATCACTCTCCAGAATGGTACAACACTCTATGAAATGTACGATCGATTCTCTGTCTCCAACGAAACAGCGAAATATCAACTCTTTCTTACAGGACCTGCCACTGGGACCCTAGGTAAATGTTTTTATGTAAAATTCTTAAAACTGCATAAAAATCCCGAATATCATCATATACTTCTTGGCCCGTGGGGATCCGGGTTAGAATAGGTCCTCAGTTCCCCCTTGCTTGTCGTAAAAGGCGACTAAATGGGGCGGTCCTTCGGATGAGACCGTATAAACCGAGGCCCCGTGTCACAGCAGGTGTGGCACGATAAAGATCCCTCCCTGCTCAAAGGCCGTAAGTGCCGAGCAAAGCCTAAATTTGCAGCCCTTCACCGGCAATGGTGACGTCTCCATATCAGTGAAATATTCTGGAGAGCGACGTTAAACAGTATACAATCAATCAATCAATCATTCAATCATTGAAAGATTATTAAGTTGTTGCAAATAAAGTCAATGCTACAAAATTATTTGTAATTCTCTGTTGAATTTTCTGATTCCATGTTGATGAAAGGTTTTTAATATTTCATGATGTCATTTGTAGGTAAATTCACAATTTCCGAGGACATTTAATTTGACATTGCTAAGTAGTTGAAATTTTAAGTTATATATTCTAAAATCAAAGGAGATTATGCTGTACAATTAGAATTATTTGTAACTACATTTGTAGCATATCCAATGGCTAACTTAAAAAATTTAAGAACATTTTTCGCTGAAATTATGACTGAAATATTGCCGACTGAGATAAAACAATAATCAATCAAAAACATTTAATCTTCGATTTAATACCGATTCCCTTTTATTTAATATTTATCACATATTTAGCCCTTTATGCCGTGGATATAGCTCATTGGATATCATTTTTGTATCCACACTATGTATTCCTACGCCGCGTGACGTAATGTAAATAAACAAATGCATGTGCATAATGGAGAGAAGAATTCCAAATAATTCAGTTGTAAAAATTGATGGAGGTGGCTCAGGTTTGGTGAAGTCTTCTAAATTTGAAAATGATCGATGAAATTATTTATGAAGTTGAGATTGAGGGAACAGGTCTGACATTGCCATTTCCAAGTTATCTTCTCAAAATTGTGAAACCTGTCTCGAAGCAGACGATGTCTGGATCGCGTTTTGAATCGATAGATGAAAATGATGTTGATAAATATATCAATGAGCAGGAAAACAAAAACACATAGAAAAAAACATCTATTGATTGCTAAAATCGTTTCTTGAAACTCAAAATGAAAACAGGCCCATAGAAGCAATCCCCCCATCTGAATTGAGTAACATTCTGTCGAAATTTTTCTTGAGTGTCCGCAAGCCCGATGACTCAAATTATGAACCAAACACATTGCGATCTTTTATGAGCAGCTTTGATAGATATTTACGTAAGATGATGTATGGATTTCAGATTGTTACAAGCATAGAATTTGTTAAAGTGCGCGAAGTTCTCAAAGCAAAACAGCGAAGTCTTAAAGGCGAGGGTAAAGGAAACCTGTCTAATAAAGCAGACCCATTAACTGACATCGAAATAAATAAACTGTGGGAATGTGGTCTGTTAGGGGTACAAACTCCTGAGAGTATACTAAATTCACTTTGGTTGTTCAATACGACTTATTTTGGATTGAGGGGTTCAGATCAATGTCATGGGGTGATATTTGTTTGCAAACTGATATTACTGGCGTAGAATATTTAACATTTAATGAACGGCAATCAAAAACAAGACAAGGAATAAATCCAAGGGATGTTCGAGTTGTCAAACCTAAAATGTGGGCAAATACTGATGCGCCAGATCGATGCCCTGTTGCTATTTACAAGCTATATTCCGAAAAAAGACCCGATGATTTTTCAAGGCGTGATGACCCATTTTATTTAGCAACACATACTCGGCAACATGCAATGTCAATCCCAGAGCAATGGTTTAAAAGACAGGCAGTTGGTGTCAACAAATTATCATCTTTAATGAAAAGAATGGCAAACGCAGCTGGTATTGGTGGAGACAAAAAACTCACTAACCACAGCGCTTGAAAACATCTTGTGCAAAAATTAAGCGAAAATAACATACCTCCAAATCAAATCATGTAGATAACTGGCCATAAAAACATCCAATCAATTAACAATTACAGCAGTATCATTGAAAATCAACACAGAAGTATATCTAGCATTCTTTCGAACTCCACACCTTCTGTAAACAACCCTGGATCCGCCACATTCAATTGGACACAAAAACAATTCAATCACAAATACCGCTGTACGGAACACTAACACATCAAACACTGGGAGTTCCATGATTGTTAATGTATCAGGGGGCATTCAAAATTTCTTGAATGGATTTGACGTTGTAAAACTTTTATTGGCCATTTTGGTCCCACCCTACCCCCGGAGGTCATGATTTGAACAATCTTGAATCTACACTATCTGAGGATGATTCAATATAAGTTTCATTTTCCTGTCTCAATGGTTCTTGAGAAGAAGATTTTTCCAATATATTCCTATGTAAAACTTTGATTGGCCATTTTAGCCCCACCCTACCCCCGGGGGTCATGATTTGAACAAACTTGAATCTACACTACCTGAGGATGATTCCACATGAGTTTCATCTTTCCTGGTCCAGTGGTTCTTGAGAAGAAAATATTTAAAGATTTTTCCTGTATATTCATAAGTAAAACTTTATTCGGCCATTTTGGCCCCACCCTACCCCTGGGGGGGTCATGATTTGAACAAACTTGAATCTACACTACCTGAGGATGATTCCACATGAGTTTCATCTTTCCTGGCCTAGTGGTTCTTGAGAAGAAGATTTTTTAAAAATGCCATTAATTTTTTTCTAATTCATAATTATCTCCCCTTGGAAAAGGGCGCAGCCCTTCATTTGAACAAACTTGAATCCCCTTTACCCAAGGATACTTTGTAGCAAGTTTGGCTGAAATTGGCCCAGTGGTTCTTGAGAAGAAGATGAAAATGTGAAAAGTTTACAACAACGCCAACGACAACAACGACGCCAACGACAACGGACAAATTTTGATCAGAAAAGCTCACTTGAGCCTTTGGCTTAGGTGAGCTAAAAAGTTTATGCACACCGCACAAATGGCCGTAGCATTAGCTCTTTGAGCCTTTGGCACAGAAGAGCTAAAAACAGTATACATGTACACCTATATACTGGCTATGAGGACAATAGCTAGTTTATCATCCCCCAAGACAACAACTATTCCCCAAGATGCAGACGAGGGAAATAGTTTGCTGTTGAGGGAGATGATAAACAAGCTATTTTCCGAATAGTAAGTAAATAAGTGTTTTATTATGGCACCTGATCCCACCTCTGATGTTTCGGGGGTCCGTGTTTGCTGACTGCTCTTATTTTGTATAGTTTTATGGACTTTGAGATTGAATACTGTTCGTTATCTCCATATCCTTCTATTATATACTGAAGCTGACTTAATTATATGTAAGGTCCGATCTGGATAAAACCAGAAGAGTTACGAAATGAAAAATTGAACTTACCTTCTGCATTAATCTTTAGCTTGGCATGGACTCATCTGTTTTTGTTTGTGTTCCAAGTGTATACTTTTTGTCCTTGAGGTTAAAAAAAAAACATATGTAAAAAAAAAAATAGACGACTTTCACATTAAATTTTTCGGGAAGTTTCTAGTATGCCGGTCCCCAGAATCACGCGATTGCGCATGAGCAGTTATTTCCCTTGCCGTTGCTATGCAGAATGTAAACAAACCGCAATTTCCCACTCGCTTCAACAAAACGCATCCGATCGAGTGATTAGGGTTAGGTTATATAGTTTTTAAAATTGGGGTTGTTTTATAAATCCACTCTGTAATCTTTCTGACTTTGGGCTAATTTATGTAATTTTTGCTTACAAAAGGCACTATGAGTGCCTTTTGTGACCAAAAACTTGCATGAATCAGCCTGTCGAATCGTGCCGATATCTTACACTTTGGTTTAGTTCATGAAATTTTTGCTTTACAAAGGAAAGTTTAAGAAATAAAAGTTAGGGTAAATCAACTCTATTGTCGAAACATGACGATTTTCAGCGCTTAGTTTAGGCAAGTTATTGCAAAAGCAACTTACCGTTAACTGCAGCTCGATATCCTGACCTCCTAATCATGTCCAAATATTCAGAATATTTTTCCTTCCAAATCGATAATGATGCACAATTCAATCCATCGATGACTAGTAATTAGCTAACATTTGTTAAATCCCTGTATTTCTCACAAAAATCACGCAATTTTAATAGCATTGCACTTTGAGTCCTATCAGGCATTTCTTCATTACGTCAAAACACAAGTGACGCATCTCATGAATATTTATGAGATTACGTCAAAAATTGATCATGTGACTACATTCCTAAACAACGCAAGATGGAGATTTATTTCCTAAACAAGTACGTTATTTTACGAAATCTTTTAATTCTCATTTAAAACACTGTGTTTAAAAACCAGTTTTTTTAAACCCAATTTTTCACAAGGAACACGAATTTGGGGTCAAATTTGCAATTTGTGGCTTCTTTTTCGATTTTGTCGATCGCTCACGCGATCGTCTATATATTGTACACCGCCTTCGGCGGCACCTATTTTAGCGCCATATTTATGGGGACCGGTATACTAGAAGTGTTCCAATTTTTCAAAAGTTATTCCCCTTTGCAGGGTCAATCCAGCGTAAGGCCCTGTTTTCCCTCTGTAACCTTACCAAATTTATTGGTCAGTATCTTAAAAATAAAATCTGTAATGAATATCGTTCATTAAGATTTTTATGTTGCCCCAAACTTCGGCAATACAGGTACAGATCTAAATTGTCCAATAACGTTTGAAGATTGAAAATAATAACAGGTAACTTACAAAGGACAAAGTGGGAAAAATGAGAGTTATGCCGACAAGGGAGATAACTCTTAGTAGTGTGAAATTCGTCAAACTCGATTGCATTTCAAATTTTACATGAAAAGCTTCAAGTTACATGTAGCATTTGCAAGTCTAAAAGCAATATGATAAGAAAATCTTATTCCTTTTTAAAAGTATTACCATATTCAAGATTATACTGGTTAAACTTTAATAATCTGTTTTGGAGTCCATTCTAGGCATATAGGTGTTTACAAAGATGAGCTTCAGTCACCATCCTGGAATGCATATCTAAAATCACATAAAAATTCTCAATCTCAAACACAATTTATATTCATAAGGATTAAAAGGGCAGATATGTAAAAACAAAACTGTTACACCATTATTGCACTCAAAGATAATAATTTCCTTTACCATCTAATGTGATGTTTTAAATACTGTAAAAAGAAATAAATTCAGTGAGTGGAACTTTACATCAAATTGTTGTTGTTTCTTTTTTTTTTTTTTTTTGCATCTTATTTGTTAGGTTAAAAACATTTTAAATAAATACTTTATTGTTATAACATTATTTTTAAACTTCACCTGCATTTTGATATATATCGTGCCCGTGTTGATGGATACACCTGGGTGCTGACCAAGACAGCTCACTGGCTCAACATGGTCAATATTTTCTGTTTTTGGTAACCCACGTCTCCATTATGTAATACACTGAAAAAAAACACCCCCCTTAGTTTACATGCAACACACAGTCATAAAGTAATTAAATAATTGTTGATTTTATGCATTCTTCACCTTTAGCTAGGCCCTAGAACTTGCAGACGTCAGACTTCTCTTTCCAGTGACGTCACTGGTAACGTACATGTAATACATAAATGGAGGCTGGAAAATTCCGGAAGGTATATTTTATAAGTTTTATACGGACAGTACCCACTGTATATTTGATAATTATCTAGATGAATCATTTACTCCCTTTTGAGATTTGTTGTGAAATTATCGTGAATTTCTTTCTTTTTTTAAAATATATTTTTGCTCTTGAATTCGGATTGATTATATCTACCGATGACCGAGTTCAATTTTATGTGCCTCTACCGATATCCGATACATATGACGAGATTGGAGAACTTTTTTTTGTAAACTTTGTTAACTGTTTTTAGAGTAAATTTTAAACCAATGCGAACTGATAACATTATGCCAGACATGAAAGTGGACGTAAGGTAAACAATGTGAAATAAATTGAAACATTAAATAAACACACACGACAAGTCAACAACGCACACACATGTATGCTTCAGTTGTGATTGGGTTTAACCAAATATCATAATAATGTTTATATCAAAAAAAGATATTTTAGATTTTAAAATATTATAATTATTAAAATACATGCAACTTCTGATATAAGGACCCGTTATACACGTTATAAGAAGGATTTTATAGATGGTCATATCACTATGATTGCTCTTCTTCCTGAATAACAGGTTAAGCCCTAAGTGCCTATTGATTGTTATGTTAAATAATATCTTGATTAGTTCTCCAAAACTTAAACTATTAAGGAAAAATAGATAGTTGTGGAAGTCAGCCATACTTTTATACAAAAAGTTCCTGTATTTTAAGTGAAATTATGTAGTCCCTAGCAACAATAAATGTTTAACGCATTGGTTTTTTTTTTCTCTTTATAGCAAAAACTAAATGATAATTTGATTAAAAAATTAAATTTGAAATAAAATAAAAAGGATTAGATTTATAGTCAACCTACATTTAACATACATGTATGTAATAATATGAATTTACAAAATATACAGCCTTCTCATTCTCAAACATAGGTTTTCACACACATTTAAAACACCTTTTTAAATGTATATTTAACATGTGCCTGATAATACACATACTATATTCATCAACATATGTAATGAGAGCTTTAGAATACAAGTAAACCATAATTTATTTATGTACATTAGTATATTTAATGTGTGGTTTATAATGCACATAAACTATATATATACATGACATTTGTGCTTTATAAAACACATGTAAACCATGAGTTCATTAACGTACGTGTAACATGTGGTTGACTATACACATGTAAACCATGTGTTCATTAACGTACGTGTAACATGTGGTTGACTATACACATGTAAACCATATGTTAATTAACGTACGTGTAACATGTGGTTGACAATATACACGTAAACCGTACGTTTATTAACGTACGTGTAACGTATGGTTGCACATAACATATGTTACACGTACGTTTCACGTACGTAACACATACGTGTATTCCAAACATACGTTTAACGTATGTTATGTGAAACGCATGTAGTCACACATATGTTATA